TCATCACATTTCAGGAAAAAGACTATATTGACATTGAAATTTCATTATAACTTTGGGTCTTCATGGGGATAATTGACATTTTATGACTTTGAATCTTAGTCATCAACATATCTGTCAGTCTAGTTATTCTTTAATATCTTTCAATAAAATTTTATAAAGGACTTGCAGATTTTCTTTTTAAAATTTACTTTAAAATATTTTATTATTATTTAAAATTTTATGTGTGTGAGTGTATTGCCTGCATGTGTGTAAGTGCACCCGTGTCTTGCAATGCCTGAGGTGGTCAGAAGGAGGCATTGGATCCCCTGGACTGGAGTTACGGATGGTTGTTGGTCACTATGTGGGTGCTGGGAATTGAACCTGAGCCCTCTGCAAGAGCAGCCAGTGCTCTTAACCACTGAGCCATCTCTCCAGTCCTAATATTTATTATTTTTAATTCTGTGTGTGTGTGTGTGTGTGTGTGTGTATGTGTGTATGTGTGTGTGTATTTAAATGCAGATGCCTGCAGAAGCCAAAAGAGGGTATCAAATCCCTGAATGGTGGAGTTACAGGAGGTTGTGAGCCACCAGATGAGGGTGCTGGTAACTGAACACAGGTACTCTGCAAGAGCACTATGCACATTTAACTGCTGAGCCATCTCTCCAGCCCTTATTACCTATTTATCCTTTGAGAATTTCAAACATGTATACAATATATTTTTATCATATCCCCATTGCACTTCCCACTCTAATCTATCCAGGATCTTCTCATTACCCCTCCAGACTTTTTTTTTTCTTTATAATCCACTGAGTCTAGTTAGTGCTGCCCATATATGCATGGGTATAGGGCCATCCACTGGTGCATGGGCAACCATGAGAAGCCACATCCCTAAGCAAACTGACTTGCCTTCTACCAGTCATCAATTGTCAATAGCTCCTCAGTTAGGGTTGGGGCCTCATGAGCCCCTTCCCCATACATGCTAGAATATTGATTGACTTGGTCTTGAGCAGGTCTTGTACAGGCAACCACAGCTGCTGGGAATTCATGAGGACAGTGGTCCTATCATGTCCAGAAGACTATTTGGCAGCAGTCTCCCCCAACCTCTGGCTTTTACAGTCTTTCCACCCTGTATTCTGCCGTGTTCCCTGAGCCTTGAGGGAGGGGATGATATAGATGTTCCATTTGGGGCTGAGCACTCTCCAGCCATTTATTCTTTAAATTTTTAAAATTATTTTTATTTTATGTGTATGAATGTATTGCCTGCATGTATGTAAGTGTACCCATGTTGTGTGATGCCTGATGCCCTCAGAGGTCAGAAGATGGTGTCGGATTACTCTGGAACTGGAGTTACAGATAATAACTGGTAGTTAGCCACCATGTGGGTCACATTGCTCTTAACTGCTGAGCCTCTCAGTCATTTATTCTCTGTGCTTTGACTAGTTGTGAGTCTTTGTGTTAATCATCGTCTACTTGTGATTTTTGTTTTTGAGACAGGTTTTTGCTCTGTGGTACAGAGTGGCATCAGATTCACCATCTTCCTGCCTCAGGCTTCTGAGGGCTAAGATTATAGGCCTGTGTTACTACAGTGGCAAAAGGTTTAAGAATCTTTTGTGCTAGGTGCTTTGCTGTCTCAGCCAGTTAGTTGTGAAGCTTTAAAAAAATTGCTGTCTTCCTTTGAGCTTTACTTTCCCCATGTGGAAACTGGCATTTGAACTAGATCAGCTTTAACAGACTTTCTAGCCCCAGATGACATAAGTAAAATGTTAGGATAAAATCGGTAAATTTTGGTGTCTCTGAGAAAAGTAATCCACTGGAGGGAGCACTTGTGCATTTTTCTCAGGCAGGGTTGCCACACTGCTGTGGAAATAGGACCCATGGTAATGAAGGCTGCAGATGTCCCTCGTGGCAGATATCTCCTCTCCACGTAGGGGAGGAGAAACTCCTTGGCCTCTTCCCAGTCACAGTTCTGCACGTAAGAAACTCTGCTTTGGCCTTTGGAAGATAACTACTTGCTTCTGGGTATGGAGATATGAGGGATACATTTTTGAAGCTGAAGAGATATGTATAGATTATCCCAAATACACAATAAATTATTATTTAGAGAGGCTTTTACTTTCCAAAGGTCATACAGACAGCTCATGAGAGAGCCAGGCCTGGAATTCAGATCTAAAAAATTTAAAAAATATTTCATTTATTACTTAATTTTATTTTATGTGTACGAGTGTATTACCTGCATGTGTGCAAGTGCACCCATGTCATGCAGTGCCCACAGAGTCAGAAGAGGGTATCGGATCCCCTGACACTGGAGTTATGGATGGTTGTTAGTCACCATGTTGGTGCTGGGAATCATACCTGGGTCCGTAGACAATACCCCCAGCTGCTGAGCTATCTTTCCATCCCCCAGGTCTAAAATTTTTTATATCATAGTTGAGGGAATAAGAGTTGGAGAGTAAGAACTGAGTATTGATTTGCAGGTGGTGGTGATAGTGGTGGTGGTGGTGGTGGTCATGGTAGTGGTGGGTCTTTAATTTTTAGTGGGCTGAGAGGCAGGAGGACTGTGAACTCGGATTTACATGCAATATTGTATGAATAGGTGAGTCTGTTGGGGTATGCATACATGAATACTCAGGTTGGCAAGAGGACTTTTGTTGTGACTGTTAGTTTTTTAAAAATTTATTGTTTTTTTATGAGTGTATTGTCCACAAGTGCACTCATGTCATGTAATCCTTGTGGAAGTCAGAAGAGGGCGTTGGATCCCCTGGAACTGGAGTTACGGATGGTTGTTAGCTGCCATGTGGGGGAATCAAACCCGAGCCCTCTGCAAGAGCAGCCAGTGTTTTTAACTGCTGAGCCATCTCTCTAGGCCCACGACTGTTAGTTTTTAAGAAGTCAAATTATGTGGTGGTACATGCCTGTCATTCCAGCATAGCAAGGCCCTATCTGAAAAAAGAAGAGACGAGAGTAGAGGGGAGAGAAGGGGAGGGATATTGGGAGAGGTTGGACTGACTGCTGCAAAATGGCCTTTATTTACATAGTAGGATGTCTTTGGCCTTTATTTACACAGTAGGGTATCTTTGATTGGCTTAAAATTTTCCTTTCGTTTATATTTTGGATTCTCTCAACAACAGGTACTTTGATAATCTGATTGCCCCAAACTGAACCTATCTGTTTATCTTTACCTTGGTTTAATGATTTCCAGACTTCACATTTTTTTCTTCTGACACAAACTGACTTTTAAAATGCAGTGCAGTCATTGGATATTCTTTTCAGAGATGGAGTTCACTTTTCTCTACAACTCATCTCTTTTCAAGTCTCTTGTGACTGCTCTTGAAGTGATTATCTGTACTGTTCTTGTTTTCTTAGTCTCCTGATTCACCTGAAACAAACTTTCCTTGAAACTATTGGCAGTTGCATCAAGAATCAGATGTTTAGTTATTTGATTTACTTTTCCCATGAATATTATGGGGATGATTTTAAGCCTTTGTATTTTGGCTTAAAATTGAAAAACATTAAAATAGAAATCAACAACCTACTGATTCCCATGTCAGTAGTAAAGCTTAGGATTTACTCAGTGCATTGCTTGTACAATGCCTTTTGTTTTTCTTGTTGCAATGCTGGGAATTGAACCCAGGGTCTCTCACATGCTAGGCAGGAGCTATACTACAGAGCTACATCGATAGCCTGGTGATGTATTATACTGTATCCTTTCCTAATAAACCTACAGATAAACATCTTATGAGAAAAACATATTTTTAGCATTAGTTCTTTATCAGGTATGGTGCAATCTAATTTCAGGAGAGTTTTTTTGTGTTAGTACAAGGAGGGATGCTGTCAGTAAACAGCCTGGGAAGAGGGACAGTGGGCCGAATAAGGGCACTGGGCAGTTTTCTCACTGCTTTAAGATGGATTTTTGGTTGGCACTTCAATCTCTGTGTGAAGTGTTGGGTAGTCAAGGGAAGGAGGATTAATCTTGATGAGAAATATTTATAAAGGTGAATATTAGGAGCTAGGAGCAAAGCCCCGTGGTCGAGTGCTTGCCTGGCATGTTTGAGACCCTGCACTGCAAAGAAAATCAAGAAAGCCCGTATCTGGCCAGTATACCTCAGCAAGTTTTACTGAGGATTTTCTATCAGTGATTTCTCTTTGGAACATACCTGCTGTGAATTTTAGCTACAAAGCTATGAGGCAATAAAGATTTCAAGCTTGGTGAAACAAAGGGCCTCCCACTCCATTAAGAACATCTGACACTAGATAGGCTTACCAGGCTCCAGTGGGTGAACTCACACTGGGGATGTCTAGGACTCGATAGGCCTTAATGTATATGACAGGATGCATGAAATCTGGTGGGTGGGCTATGGGGGTGTGGATAGGGAAGGGGGATCTAAATATCATTAAGATATATGAAATGCACAAAAATTCAATAAAAATATATATTGAAAGAAAATCTTTAAGCTACATGAGGTAACACACATTTGTTACAGCATTCTGGAGGCTGAATCAGAATTGCTTGAGCCCAGGAGTTCAAGGCCAGCCTGGGTACCTCATTTCAAAGAAAAAGGAAAAAAGAAAATAAAAGAGAGTCAAGTAAGAAACCAGGCATGGGTGTGCACATTCTAATCCCAGCATTAGAGAGGTGGAGACAGGAGAATTGCAAATTCAAGGCCTGTCTGGATTACTATATAGCAAGTTCTAGGCCATCTCAGGAAACTTTGTGAAACTCTGTGTCAGAATAAAATTTATGAAGGGCTGAGGATGTAGCTCAGTGGCAGAGTACTTGCCTAAATGCAGAAGGCCCTAGATTTAAACAAATTTCATTATTAAAAATGTTTCACATATTTTGTAACTGTTATTATATATATGGTATTTGATGAGTGTAATGAACATCTTAAAATCATTAGTGTTGGGTACTGCTAGTCATGTGCAATAACTTAATAAAGAATGAGCTCATTTCTTATCTGAATGTTAAAATACTCATGTCTTCCACTGTCTGCAATAACAGAGCATTTCTTCTTGACTTTTAGATTTCCTCCTTCCTCACCCCTGAAACCATACCCAAAGAAACCTCCATATCAGAAGGATGTTATTAAATTTCCAGAATGGAATGATCCCCCACCAGGCACTTCACAAGAGAACATCCCAGTGAGGCCGATTGTGATGGTAAGCTCTGTGACTAAAAGACAGGTGGGCCCAAAATTGGCAGTTGTGCTGCGTGTGGAGTGTGTGTATATGTAGCCATAGTTGGGGGTGTCACTGGCTCCATGGTGTTGCCACTGGTGAGTTACCCATGCTTTGGTGGGAAGCTCCACACCCATGTCCACACAGGTGTTCCTGGTTAAACCCAATGGGTCACAAAGCAAGAACAAAAAGACATGACAGTGGGAAGAGGACCTGGTGCAGGGAGGGCTTGGTGGGAGTAGGAAAGAGAGAAGAGACAGTGGGGGATGAACACGACCAAACGTGTTGTATATATGTATGAAATTGTCAATGAGTAAGTAAAACAATACACATGATTTAGGGAAAAGAAAGACAGTGTGCTCAAAGTGGAAGGAATCACCCAGGAGTTGCAGCTTAGTCCAGTGCCTTCCACTGGTCCCTGATGAACGGTGATCTAGGAGTACTGTGAAACTATACTGTGCCTGACAGCAGCTCAGAGGCCAGCTGACAAAGAAAGATGGGCTCCTCTGGTTTTCACTGTGACCCATCAACATTGTGATGGACTATATGGTAGCTGTTTTAATATGTTCAATCAGAGCAGATTTCTGTTAAATTCCTTATAATCCCTTTTTCTGATCCTAGAGTTTACTGTTCTTCTACTTTGTTTTCTCCTGAACTTTGTCTAAATTACCAGGTGAGGGAGAATTAGGATGTATTATAGAATGATCCCAGCACAACATGCCAACAAATGTGGATTTTTCTAGTCTTGGAAAACAGCTCACTGTGAAAGGACTACTTTTTTTTTTTTTCATACTTTTCTCTTAAAATATCCCCAGTACAAAACTGCTAAGATTGAAATGATGCTAAAAAATAAAACCAGAGAGAAACTTAAGACAAATTTTAAGAATGTTTTAGGTTAATCTAGTCTTACATGACTAGACATAACTAAGCAGTTTTGTTTACAAAGATGTAATGAAACCATTTTTAGCCAATGCAATTAAAAGAAAAAAAGAGCATTCCCCCCTCCCGCCCCAAAGCAATTGTGTTATATCTCAGCTTGGAGAGGATAATTAAGCAGCTTAGACTTATTAAAGATGATCAAGGAACAAAATGACACCAGTGACAGAAGTGGGGACTCCACAGGGATGGCAGAGTTGTCAAGGATAGTGATGTCTGGTGTGAATTTGACAATAATGATGCTTCATATTAAATGGGAGTGCCCAGCAGGCAGATGGAGATAGTGACCCTGGAACTTAGAGAAGAAGCCCCTAATTTATTTATTCAGTAGAGTCAGTAATATGTGACACAGTTTTTACTCTCACAGTTGAATGAAGCATACAGTAGAAAATTAAGTTTTGGAAAGCAAAGTGGAAGTACTGTGCATGAGCACTAGTTGAGGACTGCTTATTTCTAATGAGGAATACTTAATAACTAATTGATAGTTCTTGGCCTAGAAAAAATTAATATATAAGCTCTAAGAAATTGGGTGCTGTTTTTTCAACATTTTTACTTAGACACTTAATATGACCCTATATATAGAGTTATTATTCAGCAGATTTTTTTTAATAAGGTCATACATTTAGATAAAGTGCCTTGATATCATTGATCTGATGACTTCCCATTTCTTTTCTGCCTGGTTCTATGAAGTTGTGATGTTACTAGTGCCCACATTGGGAAGACCAAATGTTGTTGTTCTTTTTTTTTTTAACCAAAATTTATGTACTGTATTTCTTTTGTTAGAAATATTTTTATTGAGCTTTTATACATTTCATGTAACAGTTCTTAATCAAATTTAGAACCCCCTACACCATCTGTGCATGCCTCCCCCACAAGACCTCATGTATTCCACCATACATGTTATATGTTAGGTCCTATCCGATCAAGCATTTGTACCCAGATGTCCTTTGATACAAGTCCATCCACTGGAGTCTAGTCAACCTATCTAGAGATCTTAAGGAGGATTTACTCTTCCTCACCCAGCAGTAATCAGTCTCCAACAGTTCCCAGACTAGGGCAGCCCACTGCCCATTTCCCTTGCTCTACTCTGGGCCCTTGTCTGATTGATTGAGTTGGCATGGGTCTTGTGCTCAACACCATTTCAGAAAGTTCACATGAGCAAACTTCCAGTGGTCTGAAAGCCTCTGTTTCGACCACATGTTCTTGAGAGGTAGGTGTGGTGATCCATGCCTGTGATTCTAGCATTTAGGAGGCCTAGGCAAAATGAGTTTGAGTTGAAGCCAGCCTAGGCTACCTAGTGAGTTTCAGGCCAGCCTGGGCTGCAGGGTGAGACTCTGTCTCAAGAACAAAACAAACCAGACAACCAAAAAACTTGTTATATCTTTTTCTTTTGGGGGAGTGGGGAGGCAGTGCTGAGGATCCAGCCAGTGCCTTGCTAGGCAAGTGCTCTACAGCTGAGTTACATCCCAGCCTTGTTTGTTTCTGGCCTAGCCATTATATGAAATATGATAAAATTAATAAAGAGAACAAACAATTATTTTTTGTCTTTGCTGGGGGTCATGATTATAATGTGCAGGGTAAGCGTGGGCTCTGGAACCAGACTGCCAGATTTGAAACACGTCTCCTCTAATTAGTAGTTATTTGAACCTCTCTGTTTGTTTTCATTTTGTGGAAGAGTTCTTATCCGTAAAACTAGGATGATGGTACCTGTGAGATAGAGTTGCCGTGACAGTCAAGTGAGTTTATACCTATAGTGTTAAGACTAGGACTTGGCATGCAGGCTTTCAGTAATTGCCAAGTACTACTGCTATTATTAATTTGTCTCTTAGAATTGTTTATAGGTAGAGAAAGAAGATAAATTATGCTATCTACAAAGAATTACTCTTTTTTATATTTTACTTATTTTAATTTTATGTGTATGAGTGTATTGCCTGCATGTAAGCGCACCTGTGTTGTGCATTGCCTGTGAAAGTCAGAAGAGGGCGTCAGATTCCCTGGAACTGTAGTTATGGACAGTTGTCAGTCACTATGTGGGTTCTAGGAATCGAACCCGGGTCTTTTGCAAGAGCAGCCAGTGCTCTTAACTGCTGAGCCATCTCTCCAGCCCCCAGAGAATTACTCTTGCTAACATTTTTATTATTTATCCTTTTGTTGCATGTGTGTTTTTTTAACACAAAATGAGGTCATACTGGGCTGTTTCATACCTTCTGTTCTTCACATGGAACAGCGTGGTGTGCCTATCTTTCACATTATTCAACGTCTGACATCATTTTAGTATCTGCATCATGTCTAATATAAAAGTGATATATTGATATATTGTATTTGTTTAGTCCTTCACTGCTGGGTATATTTTTTTCAGCTTTTTAATCCATAATGTCCTAAACAATAGCTTTACAGATAAACTGAATTATATTCATGAGTACTTTTTAGAAACCTTTGAAAATGAATTTGCTCAGCAAATACAGTGGTCTATTTGCCTCCCTTCAAACACAAACACCTGATTTAGATACACATCCATCTGGTCTTTGGGTTTCTTTTGTAATTTGGCAATTCTTCAGAAGCCAAAAAACAAGCAAAATAAAAAGAAAAAAAAAAACCTTTTCTGCCCCTCCCCCCCAATTAATAAGATTTTTCTATAGTATTACATTTGTAAAGCTGTATTCTAGAAACTCTTTATAAATGATTTCTGATATATTTGCCCTTTAAAGGTCAAAATTCTTTTCTGTGACTACAAGAAGAGGTTTTTACTTAGGTCTAGTAGCTCAGCAGTAGAATGAGAGCTGCCGAGAATATGGATGTAGCAGAGCTGTGTGACTTGGGGCAAACTTTTCAGCTTCTCTGGCCTTTGACTTTTCTCCTCCCTGGAAGGGGTTCCCTCCTTATCTCCCAGCCATTATTAGCTGGCTGTGTAGAGGTCTAGTTCTGCCTTTAGCAGATGCCTAGCATTGGGCTGCTTTCCAGTATTGTATTTGTGTTTTACTTATAAAAAATGTGGAGATCTCTTAAAAGTTATATTAATTTTATTTTAAATCATTACTCAGTTTGGGCAGTGTGCAAATCTAGACAAGTCTTTCTCTGAATTTGGAATTAATAAAATTTTATTGCACTGGTTAGTTGGACCTCCCACAGGAAATAGTAGGGATGTAGTGTTCATGCTTATTACCTTAGCTCTTTTGCAATTTGTGAGCATTCATTCACAATATGATTTAATCTTAAGAGTTATGCATTACTTCTCTGAGGTCTGTGCAAAGAAACTCAGTTTATAAACTACTTCTAACCAATATTTTAAGTCAAATTACAAATAGCCAACAAAGACATGTCTCCTAAACCATGCCCTTTTGTACTGAAGTATGTATTCTTTCTGTTACTGACCCCTTCCTTCCATCCCTTCTTACTCCCCACCCCCTCCCGCCAAATTAGAATTCTGAGATGTGGTTCAAGCGTCACAGTATTGCTATTGGAGAGGTGCCAGCCTGCCGTCTTGTCCACCGCAGACAGCTGACGGAGGCCAATGTGGAGGACATCTGGAAGTCCATGACTCTGTCGTAGTACGTACATTCGATGTTAATGGTTACTGAGCAGTTCTGGGGATCTTGGCTCTATTTTGTCTCTTCCTTACTCTTTGCATATTCAATTTTCTAAAATTATGCTTAATAAGAATCAATTTTGCATAACTGGTACTGTGTTGCTTAGAAAACATAATTTCACTGAATTCTGGAATTCTGGGAATTTCCTGTTGTTATTTATGTAGTAGTTAAAAATAGTAGTTAAGAAATTCGGTTTTTTTTTTGAAACAAGGTTTCCCTATAGCCCCAGTTGGACTAGAACTCCCTATGTAGACAAGGCTGGCCTTGATCTCACAGAGATCTGCCTGCCTCTGCCTCCCGAGTACTGGGATTAAAGATGTGCACCACTACACCTGGCTAGTTTAAAAATTCTTAAATTTTGTTTTGTTTTGTTTTCTTTTTTTGACTTTTTTTGTTCTTAAGACAGGGATTCCTTCCTCTACCTTTGAGTGCTGAGATTACAGGTATTCACCATCATGCCCAGCTAAAAGTTTTTAAACTTTCTATTAACACTAAAATCTCGTTTAATTAGAACACATAGTAGAAAATTTGGTCTCAAGTATTTTTACTCATAAAAAATATTTTCTTGGAATTCAGAATGTTTTATTATTAAGTAATTAAGGAAATATGCTAATGGTAAAAGAATTTTTTTAAAAAAACTATATTCCATTTCTAGCCTTTTGCCTAGAAAGACTGGGTGAAGTACATGAAAATAATGCACCTGAAAGATTGGTCTTTAGGGGCTAGAGAGATGAACCAGTGGTAAGAGTGCTTGCCTGGGAAAGCAAGAGGGCCTGAGTTCAAATCCCCAGCACCTATGCAAAAGTGGGGCATGACCGCTTATGCCTGTAACCTCAGCACTGGAGGCAGAGGTAGGTGGATCTTGGGAGCTCACTGGCTAGCTAGCCTAATCAAAACAGTGAACTTCAGGGTCAGCGAGAGACCTTATCTTAAAAAATAAGACAGGGGCTGAAGAGATGGCTCAGCAGTTAAGAGCACTGGCTTCATCCAAATGGTGGCTAACAACTGTCTATAACTGTAGTTCCAGGGGAATCCTACACCCTGTTCTGACCTCCAAGGCATTGCATGACATGGGTGCACTTATATACATGCAGGCAATACACTCATTCACACAAAATAAAAAAAAATGGATAAAATATTAAAAAATAAGACAGAGCTATAGAAGAAGACAGCTGATATCCTCTTCTAGTCTCTGCACGAATGCACATGGGTGTGCATGCGACACACAAACTTATGTACCCATGTCACACACACACACACACACACACACCAAAAAAAAAAGGAAGATTGATTTTTGTTTAGTTTTCTTGAGACAGGGTCTCCCTGTATCCCAGCTGGTCTCTATGTCACAGACATCCACCTACCTCTGCCTTCCAAGTGCTGTGTTTAAAGGTGTATACCACCATGTCTGGCCTTTTAAAAAACATCTATTTTTATTTTATGTGTATGAGTGTTTTTGCCTGCATATATGGAAGTGTAACCATGTGTATAATGCCCATGGAGGCCAAAAGAGGCATCAGAAATTGTTAGCTACCGTGTGGGTTCTGGGAACCAAACCTGGGTCTTCTGCAAGAGCAGCCAGTGCTTTTAACTGCTGAGTGAGTCATATCTCCAGCCCTGTAATGCTCGATATTTAGCACCACAAAAATAATGATTAAAAATATTTTAAAAATTATTTTAAGAATAAATTTTGTCTTTCTAGTTTACAGAAAATCCTTGGCCTAGATTCCTTAGAAGAAGTTTTAAATGTCAAACTTGTCAACTCCAAATTCATCATCCATAATGTATATAGCGTTAGCAAGCAGGGAGTTGTCATCCTGGATGACAAATCAAGTAAGTATGCCAAAACCATTTGTTCTTGTTTGACCAGCACATTGACTACACAGATCCCTCAGCTCCTATTTGACTGCCCCCTAAGCCCTAAGTAAGTTTATCCCCTCATCACACACATCCTGTTCTCTATTAATGCTTTTTAACCAATTGTCTAGACTAAAGAATGTCATTGAAAGATGAGTGTCCAGGAATGGAAGCTCAGCAAAATGCACCCAGAGTCTAGTTCATTGTTAATCAATGGGTGTTAAGTGGTTCCATAGTATCCATAGGAAAATCCGCCATACAAGAGAACGTTTAAGACCTAAGGAAATGTCTGCCTCAGTTTTCAGGTGAGTCCTAGGGTCCGACTTGCATTTGGGTTTTTATTTTTTATCTGTTTTTGAGACATGATCTCATGTAACCCAGGCTTGCTTTGAACTTACTATGTGGTTGAGGATAACCTTGACTTTTTGATCTTTCTGCCTCTGTCTCCTGAGTGCTGGGATCATAGGCATGTGCCATCATGTCTGATTTATGTGGTTCTGACCATCGAACCCAGGGCCTTGTGCATGCTGAGCAGTTCCTCTACTGAGCTCCAGCCCCACATTTGGATTTCTAACTTACCTGTTCATGGTGGTGGCAATGTGTCAGATTAATGAGGTAACTTTTAAAAAACATTTAAAAAATTATTTTTTAAATCTTTTTATGAGACAGGGTCTCCCTATAGCTCTAGGTGTTCTGGAACTCACTATGTAGACCAGGCTGGCCTTGATCTATCTCACAGAGCCTATGTCTCCTGAGTACAGGTATGTGTTACCATACCTGGTTTAATGAGGTAACTTTAAAGTTGTAAGTCTTTTAATTATTTTTATACTTTATCCTCTAAGCTGATTTATAAGTCAATGCCTGGAAAAAGGAAAAACAAAAACAAACAAACAAAAAAACCTGAACAGCAGCAACAACAAAAACACCTTTAGGAGCCGCATAACCTGCTTTTTGATTTGGGAAAATATAGTCATGTTACTTTAATGGGCCATAGTCTCCAGACTGACTTTATGGGTTTTTGGCAAGGCCTGTATAACCTAGGCTAGCCTTGCACTTGAGATCCTCCCGTCTCATCCTCTGGAGTGCTGGGATTCCAGACATGTGCCATCATACCTGACCCCAGACTGATTTAACAAAACACTTTCTAATTGGATAGGTTCTTTTATTTGGTCTTAAAGTTTAAATCCTTGAAGTTGGAACAAAAATGACTTATGGATATGGGAAACTGATGCGGTATTTTGGGGGATGTCCTAGTTTGTTCTTCATTGCTGTGACAAAATACTCTGACCACTGCCAACTTGGGGAGGAAAGTTTATTCAGCTTACATCTCCCAGGTCGCAGTTCATCAGGGAGCCCAAGGTAGGAACTCAGGGCAGGAACCTGGAAGCAGGAGCTGGAGCACAGGCCATGGAGGGATGCTGCTTACTGGCTTGCTCCCCTGGCCTCTGCCCAGCGTGCTTTCTTGTGCAACACAGGCCCACCTGCCCAGGGGTGGTACCACCCACCGTGGGCTGGGTCCTCCCACATTACTCATCAAGAGTATGTCCTCAGACATGGCCACAGGCCAGTCCAATAGAGGCAATTCCCCAATTGAGGCTCCCTCAACCCAGGTGTGTCAAGTTGACACTAAAGCTATCCAGTACAGGGGATTTAATAAACTATTATTAAATTCAGGCTGGAGGCTCCTAATCAGAGCAGTGAGAGGGTGAAAAGGTGTGAGTTGGCTGTCTCCTAACAGGAGCAGAGCTTGCCCTTGAAAATGGAAGCAAGTTTCTTTTCATAGCCCCTCCATCAAGAATGGAGGACAGTGGCAGACAGAAATAGATCTGTTGTGACTTCATAGCTTATTGGGTTTCTACTGATCTGTAACATTAATTTCCATAGCATGGAGGAGTCAGACAGCCTTTGGAATACTCCTCAGCCTTTCTACGTGCTCTGGGTATAGCAGATTCATACTTTGAGTTGCCACTTATATGACCCGTCATCTTTTGTTTTGGTGGGAGGAGGTTCTAGCAAGTGATTCAGCTGGATTTTTGTTTTTTAAAGGTTTTATTTTTATTTTTAAGTATGTGTACTCTTGTGGATTTGTGTACATGGATGATGCAGTGCCTATGGAGGCCAGAAAGGAATCCGATCCCATGAAGTTGGAATTACAGGTGTTTGTGAGCTGCTCAGTGTGGATGCTAGGAACTGAACACAGGGTCTCTCGAAGAGCAGTATGTGTTCTTAACTGCTGAACCATCTCTGTAACCTCCTGGATGAGATTTTTTGGTAGTAATGCTGCTATTATTTTAAGGCTTTTGTACTACAAACAGCCTACGGTTATTATGTGGGGACTTTCTTGACCTAAAACATTTTGAAAATGGTAGCAGATAAAATGATACCTATAACGGACCTACACAATATGCTTCTTTTCTTTTTTTGGTGCTGAAGATTGAACTCAGGGCCTTATACATGCCCTGCATTTCTCTGGATAAGCTATTCAATATTTCCTTTTCACTACAGCCTTAAAAAGTGTGTCTTGCCCTTAGGGACAATCTTATGCATGATTTATGTAAACACATATTATAACATGACAGCTAAGGAAAGATTTCTATCTTAATATTCTGATATACAAATCAGTGATGCCTCATATTACCAGGCAAAGAATATAATCTTATAGTACCAAATATATATATATATATAAAATTATAAGAGGACTAAAATATCTTTTATATGTTCCTTTTTCCTACAGAAGAGCTTCCTCATTGGGTACTGTCAGCCATGAAGTGTTTGGCAAATTGTAAGTACTAATTACCTGCCAGTTTTATGAAATTAACAGAAATTAGTGCCTTGAATTAGAAAATATTTCTGCTCAATGACCTGAACATTGATTTGACACCTGTGAGGCTGTCAGGTGATTGTCTGGGACCACTGTGCTTTTATTGGTAAATTTTCAACTTAGTGAAAGGACTATTATTTTACTGTTTTAAAGGCATTTAGTTCTAACATGGATATAATCATGCTACAGATAAAGTCCACAGTACTCTGAAGGGTTTCTCATAAGAGTGAAAGAATTAGTCATAGTGCATGTAGTACAGTAGCAGCTACCTCTTAACAGGCAGCCTCTATAGATTTTTATTCCTAAAATGTGATTGTTAAGTGTCTACCATATTTACATCACCAGTTTGCTCAGCAGATTCTGTCCCCTACTGGCTTTTCATAGAACAGTATTTTGAGCATGACAGAAATGTTTTAGAGGACTGACCTGACTAATTTGCAAGATAACTTAGAAGGAAAGGAACCTGCATGCAGAGAAACAAGAAAGGCCTGTTTCAGAAATCTCTGTGTAAGATCTTCGGGCCTAGACCAGGGTGGGCCTTTGAGATTTTTCATAGGTCTATGAAGTGTACTTTGCAGACACAGGACATGCATTTCATTGACTGTCATAGGCACTGTGAAGGAATAGATTATAGTTCATTAATACTACCATTTTTCTGGGGTGTGTTCAGGAGGCTCAACCCAAAGAATGGAGTCTAATGGCTAACGATTTAACACAAACAAGTGAGTTAAAAAAATTGTGTGTGTGTGTGTGTGTGTGTGTGTGTGTATGATATGTGTGAGTACTGGTGTGCATGTGCCATGACATGCATGTGATAATCAGGGAACAATTTTTGGGAGTCAGTTCTCTCCTTCCACTGTGGGTTCTGGGGATCATTGAACTCAGATTGTCAGTCTTGTGTGGCAAGTGCTATTACCTGCTGAGCCAGCTCACAGGCCCCCAAACAAGTGATTTTAAAATATTTTATTTATTATTTTTATTTAATATGTATGAGTGTATTGCCTGCATGTGTGTAAATGCACCGATATTGTGCAGTGCCTGTGGAAGTCAGAAGAAGCCATCGGATTCCCCTGGAACTGGAGCTATGGATGGTTGTTAGCCACCATGTGGGTGCTGGGAACTGAACCTGGGTCCTCTCTAAGAGCAGTCAATACTCTTAACTGCTGAACCATCTCTCCAGCCCCCAAACAAGTGATTTTGATGATTAGAATTATAGTTGTTTTAGTTAACTGCTAATGGCAATATTATTTGGTCTTAGGGAGACTTTTGAGTCTCACAGCTACCTCAGAAGATAGTTTCTGTTTTTATTTTTGGCTAGGACTAGCATATGCAGATATATATATATATATATATAAATTCCTAAATTAGTAAGCTCTGAATTATGGTTTTATTAGTCACTCTTGATTAGAATGAAACTGTTAGTTTAATATGGGTAGTCTTAGGGGCCTATGTGGAAAATGATTATATACTCTCATTCTGAATATGCATAGTAATATTAGTTTGTATAAAGCCCAAAGTTCTTTGGATTAATTATTACAATTTTCATTGGTTTTTGATTAATATTTTAGAAACTGACATATAGATTACCTGTGGTTTTAGCTTGGGGAAATGCTTTATTTAAATTTTTATTACATGTGTTTAGTTATTCTCTCTCTGTCTCTCTCTCTTTCTCTCTGTCTCTCTCTTTCTGTATGTGCATGTATGTATGGTACAGTGCATGTGTAGAGGTCAGAGAACAACTTATAGGAGTTGATTCTCTCCTTTCTCAGTGTGGGTACCAGGGATTGAGCTCAGGTTGTCAGAAGGCAAATGCCTGCTTTTAATTTTTCTTGCTCAGCCATTTGAAGTAAATTGAAGTTTTATCTTTTGTCAGATTTGGCAATAATGAGATAGGAAGTATAGATGGAATGTTACATTGCCCATTCTGAACTCCTGGCAAACTAAAGTTTTGGAAGTTGGTTAGTCGAGAATGAAAATAACACACCAGCATAGCACATGTAAGCTATAAATGTGTGGTAAAGTGCATTGAGGTGTGTTTATGATGCTTAATTTTCAATGATGATTGGAATAGAGTGATGAGTATAAATAATTTTCCATTTGATTCATAAAACATTTCTGAAGACAGGCTAGTATAATTGGATTTTCAACAGAGGAAAAATGTGACGTATAAATTTGTAATCCCCATATGTATGAGGTGGAGGATGTTGGGAGTAGGAACATGCCTCACATATATCAAGTGCCATCTTTGCAGATGGTTAGCATAACCACAAAGGTGTTCATTTATGCATCAAAGGAGGGCAAGCTTAGCCTTTCTAATAGCTTTATAAAATTTCTAGGGCTTCCCAAATTCCCCTTGTGTCCCAGAATTCACTACGAATCCTCTACAAGGGAACAGAAAGGACAGGCTGGCTGTGTGATGTGCTGAGAGCTATTTGCTTCCTTTTCTGCTCTTTACCCTTTCTTTGTAGAGCTCATCTATGGTCTCTGTAGACCTTGTACACATGGCCTGCATGCTTTAGTTCTTGGCCAGACTCTTTCATGGCTGACCTCAGAATGAGAATTGATGATAAGTAAATGGAAAATCAGGTTAACTGATTCTTTTTATTTCTTTGTGTATATGGGTCCCAGGAACCAATAAAAATGCAAAGAAAACAACCACTTTTCATTATAGAATCTGTCAAGAACAACATTTATACAAAGTTAGAATAAGGAAAAATGTTCTTAAAGATCAAGATGATTAAGAAAGAAAAGATCTAGGCTCTATTTACTTTTCAACAGAAAAGTTTTTTTTTTTTGCATATTTCAACAAAGATGATGAAATATTCACAAGGGATCTAAACTGCTTAAAATGAGTCACACACATCCTGGTAAAAGCTAATTCTAGGGAATGTGTCTTGCTTGTTGAATTATATCAAAATGTTTCATTTGATTAGAGCTTGTTTGTATAATGAGGAATCAAACAAAGATGGTGACTACAGTTACTGCTAGGTTTATGTGGTACAAACATAGATATTTAATTATTTTAGCCAATAGAATTATTTGATAAAAGAGAACAGAGTGTGAAGGACAAAAGAGGCTTTTAAAAAAGATTTTATTTTCTTTTTAATTGTATGTATACATGGATGTCTTTGTGTGGGTGTGTCCACATGAGTGCAGGTGCCCAGAGAGTCCAAAAGAGGGCACTGGATTCCCTGGAGCTAGAGTTACAAGTGGTTGTGAGGTGCCTGACATAGGTGCTGGGAACTGAACTCAGGTCCTCTGCAAGAACAGTAAGTGCTGTTAACTGTAAATCATCTCTCCATCCCCTGGTAAAAAAAGTTTTTTAGGGGATTGCAAAGAGCCACATCATGATTTCCCAGAGAATTGAGCTGTGATGGTCCAGGATGGTCCTCTTTCCTTAGATCTAGAAATTTTTATTTAAAAAAATTAAAGTGGAGTGATTCTGTGGCCTTATTTTTTAATTTTAATTTTTTTGAGAATTGCTGGGGGTTTGAACCAGCAACCCCTGGGGAGGTGATGATTGGGGATGAGTAAGCACGCCATTCGCCAGCCCATGCCGCCCCCATTACCCGGGGACACTCAGACGCAATTGGAGCCTAGTCAAGCAGGGACTCATTTAATACAGGTGTTACAGAGCTTATAAAGGCACCTGGAAATCCCCCCTCCCCCCTGAGGGTGTATCTTAAGGATGGGCATGCGCTGATCATGCTCTGCTCAGCAGTGCGGAAGTATCCTTCAGACTTTCAAAGCAAGTCAGGCTGAGCCAGAGTAACTTCCTCTCGGACTTCTGCAAGGTGGTGCCTTTAGGTCCCCACATTGCATGACATGGGTGCACTTACCTACATGAAGGTAATACAGGCATACACATAAAATAAAAATAATAAATAAATTAAAAAACAAAACAAAAACCAGTTTACGGAAGGTCACCTTTGTGAGATTGCCTACAAGATGTCCCTGAAGCCAGGGACACATGCTCTCACGCTCATAGGGCTCTGTGGGCTAGTGAATAAATCTTGTGGTATTTCCAGCAGCTCTTCGGGATCTTATTTAATATCAAGGAGGCTCACAATTGTCCTTCCCTTGTGTGGGAACTCAGCATCCACTGCACAGTGGTCTACCAGGCTGTAAGGGCATAGCAGCCTTGTGCAATCAGTCCAGAGTTAGACTGACAGAGTGGGAGGGGTGGGGTCTCAGTGAACTCTGGCCTGTGTCAGAGGAGGAAAGGGCCAAAGACAGGAAGGTAGGAAGGTGGGAAATTCAGTGGCCTCAAAGGGGGGCCATGTTGCTTTTAGCCAATCAGCCAGTTGTCAAAGAGGCTGACTGGCAATGAAGCCAAGGAACTGGGTCCTTCACCTCAGATGGATACAGATAAAGAGAGGAATTTTTTCTCATGAACTATTGTCCATGGACTGTCATGCTAGTCAGTCGGATCCTGGCCTACCCACTTAAGGTTTTTTGCAGGCATCCATATGGGGTTTTGATCTCCTGTAGGGTAGACACACCCAAAGCCTCGACCTATGGTTAGCAATGGGTTTGGTCCTTTCCATTGCCCGGTGATGGGATCTTTCCATCTTACCCATACCTCAGGTCTCTGCTCCTGTCATCCCCAATGCTTCTGAAACTGGGATTCCAACTGAATTTTTGAAAATTAAGACCATTAACAGTGAATAAGGCCATACCAAACTTTTGGTGGGGGCTTGTTCCCCTTTTTTGTTTTTGTACTTGAATATTTAGGTTTTGATGGTTGCGTTTTATAATGTCTTGACCTTGGGGATTGTAGGGAATTCCTGTATTGTGTTGAATTCCCCAAATTGAAAAGAAACCTTGTAAATATTTACTCACAAAACATGGTCCATTATCAGTTTTAATTCTTTGGGGAAGTCCCCAATCCCAACATAGTAAAACACTAGAGAAAATGAGACTGAGCATGTTTAGACTTCTCTCCTTTATGAGCAGTAGCCCAACAGGCATATGAGAATGTGTCAATGGACACAAAAATATACTTAAGCTTTCCAAAAGGAGCAAAGTGTGTGACATCCGTTTGCCACAAGGAATTGGGCTTGAGTCTCCTGGGGTTTACCCCTGGCTGTTGCAGAGG